TTAATGTCCTAAAATTTCCTATATACCTTCTCTATTACCCATTCTCTAATTAGGATCTTTATGTAATAATTTTCTTAATAAATCTTTTGCTTCAGGAGAACAAACTTTTACAGGAAATTAAACATCATCATTTAAAATACTTTAAAATATTTCATCTGTATTTTTTGAATAAAATGGAGGAAGCCCTGTTAATAATTCATAAAGTAATGCTCCTAAACAATAATAATCAACTGCAAATGTATGTCCTTATTATTATAACATTTCTGGTGCCATATACTCTGGTGATCCACAAAAAGAATATGCTTCATCAAATTAACCCATATTAGGTTTAGCTAAACCAAAATCTGCAACTTTTAAATGTCCATACTCATCAATTAAGATATTTTCTGGTTTTACATCTCTATATAAAACATTTTAACTATGCAAAAATGCTATTGCAATACAAACTTAAACAAAGTAGATTTTTGCTTAATCTTAATTCATTCTCTAAACTTTTCTTAATTAATTGAATAATTCTCCACCAGGACAATATTCCATACCAAAACAAACCCAATTTTTTGTTTCAAATGCACATTCTAATTAACATATAAATTATTTAGGCATTTATTAATCGCTTAAATTTAATTAAACCATAACATCTCTTTCATTTTATACAATCTATTATTTTTAATGTTCAATTATAAATTATTTTGATATCAATTTTAAAGCTATAAATCTACCATTTCTTTTTGATCTAACTAAATATACTCTTGAAAATCCTCCAATACCTACACATAATAAAAAATGAAAGCTTTTTAATGATAATTTTTATGTTTATTCTGGATATAATGGTTATAATTTTATAGTTTACTTATCCAATATCATTAAATCTTTATTCTTGAGACTTAGATAATATTCAACTGCAATATTATTATCTACAGATGAAAATCCAATTATATTCTCATCTTATGTTAATAATAAAATATATACTATCTTAACAAATTTCGATTAAGTATTAAAGTAATTAATCTGTTGTCTTTTCTGAACAGTCATATTTTATTTCTAATTTTTTCTCTTAATCATATAGATGAATATTAATGTAATGTTATAATGTCGTTTATTATTATTCTTTTTGCCTAAAGGATTCTTTTAGAAAATCTTGATGATTCTAATTTTTCAATCTGTCAGTACTCTTAGCTTTATTCAAAGTTAAATGGTATTTTTAAAGTAATTTTTTAAAATTAAATTCGACTGGATTGCTAATACTACCATTCTTTTGCTAATTTGATTATTCTTTGATTTTATTAATCAAATTTTAATTGTTTTATGTTTTTTAAATAGGTTCTGTAGTTATTTTATGTGATTTAGATAATAATTATTCCGAAGACTTTGTTTTTGATTATTTTTTTAGACTTTTCTTCTCATCTAATAAACCTTTCTTTAAATCCTATACAGAATTAAGTTGATAACATATTTATTGCTTAATTAAGTTAATGTTTTTTTATTATGCATTACCATTTGAATAATAACCTGAAACGAAATTATTATTTTTTGTTTAACTAAACCTTTAAACATTTGGAGATTATTGTTTTCTCTTAGTCTCTAATTCAGATTATCGATGCTTATATTCTCTTTAGGTTTAACAATTAAAATTTAATTGCATCTAATTTTTGATTTACACATTTATCTATGGAACCAGATTTTGTAAATTCTGGAATATAATATAATTTCATATTACTTTCAAAGATGAATGAGATTGATTTCCATTTGTTTATTTTTTAATCATACTACTATATGGTGAATGATTCAATAAATGAGGGTTTGTAATTGACATCTTTATTTTATAATTAAAATATTTTCATAAATAAAATGATGCGTCCAGGTCTCGGAGTAGGAGTATTTATTAGAAATGGAGATTCTGTATTGATGAGCTATCGTAAAGTAATGGATATACTTTATAATTTAGGATAATGGATATTTAGCCTTACCTGGGGGTCATCTTGAACTGTATGAAGAATTTGAAGATTGTGCAATTAGAGAAGTAAAAGAGGAGACTAATTTGGACATTGAGAATCCGCAAATATTCTAGATGGTAAATATTGTAAAGAAGGAAATATAACATCATTTTGTTGTAGTATTCTTAACTGCAGATTATAATGAGAAGAGTTAATTAATGAATGTAGAACCAAATAAACATGGAGAATGGAAATGGATTAATGCTTAAGTCTTTTAATAGCATTACAATGAAAAATAATTATTTTATGGTCTGATGAAATTGATTGATAGATTTGGTAATGCAGAGAAGTTGTTTAATGTAATATTTAATAAATGATAATATTTATTCTGTATTCTTCAACCCATTTTATAAAGTAATATTGCCATTTATCCTTCATAAAAGAACATATACCTTTTGCTTTCATAAGATGAATAAGAATTAAAGTGTTTCCCTTAAATATATATTAATAAGAAGTGTACCAACAACACAATGCCAATTAGGACCATATTTTTCATCAAAGAATTTTTTTATGTAATTTGAGATCTATGATTCTACCTTAAAATGTTCTACCGCATATTTTGCCTAATAATATTAAATAATCATATTAAAACTTGAGTTCTTGCATCATTAATCATATCAGATTATTCTGGCATATCTATAATCTAATCTAAATTATCATCAGCCATCTGAAACTGAAATTAATTTATAATAATATTAAAAATAATCATATTAAATTTTTCAGAGGTATGATAAATAGATTTGCATTATTGTTTATTTTCTTTTTGAATCAAATATANAAATTATTATTTTTTGTTTAACTAAACCTTTAAACATTTGGAGATTATTGTTTTCTCTTAGTCTCTAATTCAGATTATCGATGCTTATATTCTCTTTAGGTTTAACAATTAAAATTTAATTGCATCTAATTTTTGATTTACACATTTATCTATGGAACCAGATTTTGTAAATTCTGGAATATAATATAATTTCATATTACTTTCAAAGATGAATGAGATTGATTTCCATTTGTTTATTTTTTAATCATACTACTATATGGTGAATGATTCAATAAATGAGGGTTTGTAATTGACATCTTTATTTTATAATTAAAATATTTTCATAAATAAAATGATGCGTCCAGGTCTCGGAGTAGGAGTATTTATTAGAAATGGAGATTCTGTATTGATGAGCTATCGTAAAGTAATGGATATACTTTATAATTTAGGATAATGGATATTTAGCCTTACCTGGGGGTCATCTTGAACTGTATGAAGAATTTGAAGATTGTGCAATTAGAGAAGTAAAAGAGGAGACTAATTTGGACATTGAGAATCCGCAAATATTCTAGATGGTAAATATTGTAAAGAAGGAAATATAACATCATTTTGTTGTAGTATTCTTAACTGCAGATTATAATGAGAAGAGTTAATTAATGAATGTAGAACCAAATAAACATGGAGAATGGAAATGGATTAATGCTTAAGTCTTTTAATAGCATTACAATGAAAAATAATTATTTTATGGTCTGATGAAATTGATTGATAGATTTGGTAATGCAGAGAAGTTGTTTAATGTAATATTTAATAAATGATAATATTTATTCTGTATTCTTCAACCCATTTTATAAAGTAATATTGCCATTTATCCTTCATAAAAGAACATATACCTTTTGCTTTCATAAGATGAATAAGAATTAAAGTGTTTCCCTTAAATATATATTAATAAGAAGTGTACCAACAACACAATGCCAATTAGGACCATATTTTTCATCAAAGAATTTTTTTATGTAATTTGAGATCTATGATTCTACCTTAAAATGTTCTACCGCATATTTTGCCTAATAATATTAAATAATCATATTAAAACTTGAGTTCTTGCATCATTAATCATATCAGATTATTCTGGCATATCTATAATCTAATCTAAATTATCATCAGCCATCTGAAACTGAAATTAATTTATAATAATATTAAAAATAATCATATTAAATTTTTCAGAGGTATGATAAATAGATTTGCATTATTGTTTATTTTCTTTTTGAATCAAATATACTTTATTTGTAGATACTTCATTTTATATATAAAAAGGAAAATATTTATACAAAATTAAAAATTATAGTAAATTCGTTTTGACATTTTCATCTCTCTGTATAAACAATTATTAAAAATCATAAGTTTAATAATAAATTGAGTAATTAAAATCAAGAAGTAGTATTGATTATTAGATCAAAATAATTCAAACTAATGAATTAAAAGCTCATTATTGATTTATTTTAAAATGCATTTTACTTATTAGTCAATTATTATGTATAATGAATTAGTTGTTGACTTTGAAAATCTTTTAAATCAATTAATTTAGTTGCACTATTCACTTTGCTTTTTCAAAATTTAAGTGTTTTTAGTTGAAACAACTATTCTTTCCATCTATTCTTAATTGTTAATTCTATTTTATGATTATAATTCTTAATTTGAGATGACTATTAAGAATACTACATTTTAGATATTATTATATTATATTTTATATTTTATTTTAATATCTTGATTCTTTCAATCATCATCTCCTCCTTCATCACCTCCTTCTTCTAAATCACCATATGTCTTCTATTCGAATTTAGGATCATGATAATCTTGCCAATCGAATCTTGGTTTTGTGTATAAACAACTAAATAACCAACATCCTGTTAAAAATAAACCACATCTTGTAAACATAGCTACATTTATTTTATTAAACTTACTTCTAGTCCAATAATCATTGAAATCTCTGTGTGATTTACTCAAAACATATCCCCATTTATTTGGATTATATTCTACAATACCTTCTCTGAGCATCCAAGAAGCTGTTTCATAGCTTACTGCCATGTTTTTAACTTTGTATGAGAATTCTCCTGGTTTCTCAAATAATCCCTCTTTGAATGCAGCAGGCATTGTAGATCTTTGCCCTGCTTTTTAAAATACCTTCCACAAAGCCATTATTTATTTAAAATAATAATAATAATAATAATAATAATGAATATTATTCATTAAGTTCAAAGTTCATTATAGATATTTACTGCCATCATTCCTATTCCTTCAGAATTGCTTCCACTAATTTCATATAATACACTTTTCACATCCTACATATCCTCATTATTTATTTCATCAAAATATTCACATTCTTTTACTTATTTATATAAATTTATTCCTAAAACATTTAATAACTCTGCATCCTTCATTTCATTCATAAATTCAATAATCTTATTCATTATTTTATTATTTAATTTATTTATCTGAGGACCAACCATCATCATAAATCTATCATAAAATTATTAAAATACTGTATCTTTTATAAATCATCGCAATTTTCAAACAATATCTCATAGCCTTCATTCAAATTTTGTTTTGCCTTACTCAAAGCTTATTCAAAATAATATCTATTGAGTTTATATCTAGCTCTTTTCTCACTTTTCTATTCAACCTTATTATTTTTCAAACTTTCTTTAAATTCTTCATTTTCTATCGATTTCTTTTTTTTATCATTAATTTCTGTTACTTAATTTTCTATTAATTCTATTTTTTTATTTTATATGGATTCTATCTTTTTATTTTCTAGTCTATTTAATTAATCATTATCTTTTTATTATAATATCCCTAAATCTTCTTTAATATCCTATTATTCTAAATCTTCTTTTGTTAAATCAAGCTATTGTATATCTTCACTTGTTACATCAAGTTCAACATGTTCTTATTACATAACTTAACCTGATTTTACTTTTATTTCATTCTCCTTTCTTTCATAAATATTTTATGTTATAATTTCTTAATCTTAAGAAAGTATTTCTTTGTTTACATCCTTATCTTCTATTAATTCTTATTCATAATTAATATTATTATTTCTAGAAATGTATTCTTTTGGAAATTCTTAAATAGATGCATCAAAATTTGATATCTACTAAATTTAAAAAGGTTAGAAATATTTATCATCAATATTTTATTCATTTTCTTATTCTTCAAACTCTATCTCATCTTCTTCTTATTTTTATACATTTCCACTTCTAACCTTTTAAATCTATTGTTGAACCCGTTCATATTACAATTCTTAATTTTCTAAATTTCCTTAAGATTTCTATTTATTCTATAACTCTTATTTATCCTATATTAATTATGTACTAATATCTTAATTAACACCTTTCTAATAATTCTCTTAAACACTTTGTTATTTTATATATTAATTTTTCTCAACCTCTAATTATTAAATATTCATATTTTGTTAATTATTCTCTTACAAACTATTTTTATCCATTTCTGTAACATGTTCAAAAGTTCCTTTAATATCCTATTACACTTCTTAATGTAATGATTTTTTCATAGTTTAAACATTATCAATATATTATATACTTGGCATCTTACTTAATTACTATACATCATCTTTATTTTATGAGCTTCTCATCAAACTATCTTACAATTCCTCTTTTTATTCAACTATTTAATTTTATTGAACCTGTGATGATTATGGAATCACTTAAAATGGATTTGCTTCTAAAGAATCCTCAAAAATATCTTCTTCCTTTTTCTTTTATTCCTATTGACTATCACTCTTTTTTTATTTTAATAATTGCAAAGCCTAGTTTCTTCTCACTTCTTCTGTATCTTCTTCCAATAATTAGAATTTTGGTGAATTAGATCTTATCTTATTTATTTTCTCCCTAATCTTAGGTTTAGCTATTTAATTAATTAATTTCTTGGGTAAACTAGGAGACCTTGAATTCTTTCTTACATAAGAACTTGCCCTCACTAAACTTTAAAATCCTCTCTTCTAATACTCTGTATATGGAGTTTAACAAAAACCAATTTTATTATAAAATTAATCTAATTAAGGTTCTATTAATTTGATTTCTTACTCTTTCCAAGCTGAAATTGCTTTCTTAGCTGCTACTTAAACATCTACTCTTCTGTCATTAGTCAATTTTTCCATTTCTTTTATTACTTCATTTGACATCATTCTTGTTTTCGATCCCATATGCTCAATAATCTTACAGGCTTAACAAACTATCAAATAGTATTTTGAATTCTTATTAATCGGTACCTAACAATATTTTAGAGATCTTTAAATAATGATTTCATGATTTAAATTCAAATTTAAACATAATAAAAATTCTATGCACTTCAAGAATTCTACACTATCAATCATTAATTTCTATCTTATTATATAATTTTACTTTGTAAATTTCAAAAATCAATTACCCTAAAATATTAAAATCTTCTATCTTATTTTATTATTTTAAATAATAACATAATAATGACAAAATTGTTGCTACTTGAACTTGTCTGCCTTTATCATATATAAATTCATTTAATTCTTAATAAGTGTTTGATACATTTATATGAGATTACAATTACATAAGAACGTAACTTATTGCTTAAATTGTTGTATCAGAATTACTCTAAATATAATCAATTCGTACATTCATATGCTTTTTTATTATTTGAAAAATTTTATCAATTAAATATGGGTTTAAGGTTTCTTCATTTTACTTTATTATTTCACCTAAAGTAATCAATTCCATATCTATTGCTAATGTATTTTAACTATTTGTCTTTGGATTAATGTTTTTTTTTGAACTACTATATAAACATTCAATCATTGTTTAAACTGACTACAAATCTTTGTTTTTCTCTATCAAATTAAAGCAAATTGCAACACCTGAATCTCTAGTCAAATTCTCATTAAATTTTTCTATTGCATTGACAAATTATGCTCCTAATTCCTTATTTTAAGGTAATGGTTAATAATTTTAATGAACCTATTGGATGGCCTTTTCTTTTTTAACCTGCTTTTGTGATATATTATTCGATGTTAAAAATTATTCTTTTAACTCTTATAATTATTGTTATCTCCTATCATGTAAAGCAGTCTTTGGTCTTGGTTGATTTCTCCTTGAATTCCATTCCTTATCAATATTATCATTTAATTCAGGATTATTGAGACCGACTAATAACATTTCTTTTGCTAAGTCAATACTCTATTCATTTTCCTCATTCATTTTGATATTATTAATTATTTATATATTAAATTTTTCATTACCAAATAAGAATTACCTATACATTTTTTAATGATCTAAGATTTTATTTAAGTAAAAAAAAGTTCAATCTTAAATTTTGGGTGAAAATTTTTTGATTTCTAATTGAAGGAAATTGTATTTAAATAAGTAGTGAATAATCTAGAGTTTAATTGATAAAACTTAATTAATAAACAAATATATAAAATCTTCAATTTAGTTTTAATTGGCTTCAAAGACCTAATAGATTTCTATCATTATTTCAAACTTTTAATTTGTATTATATTTATAAAATCCATTTCATTTGATTATAACTATTAAAATATTTATTGAAATTACAATATGTATAATTAAGCTTTTAATTCTTACAAGATATTATGAATAAAATTAATATTTGGATAAAGGGAATAAATAAATTATTAAATAATTTTATATTTTTATAGCTTTATCAGAAACAATTGTGTTCTTAAAAATTTTTTATATATTAATTAAATTTATTTATATATT